CAACTTGATAAAAACTTTTCAAGAACTCTTGCAAAGGCTCTACAAAGTAAAGGCAGAATTATTCCAAGAACAACAACAATATCTTGAGCTTTTCGTCTAGTTGTTTAGGAATACATTCTCTCGTTCTTAAACTGTAAACCATTCCTGAATCTATAAAGGATTTGGTGTGTTGTGTTAAAAGTCTAGGTTGTCCAGGTGGGATAGCTTAGTGGGTAGATTGTTTTCTACTTAGGCTTGTTAAGCAATAGAGAACTATTGCTTAACGATAAGATTGATAACTCTTTCTTACGTTTGGTATAATCGTGTTTTACTTTTGCTTTTGAAGATTAGTGAAAACGATTGAAAATCCTGTGAGACAGGTCGTGGTTTTACTCCCTTAAGCAAGGAGGTTTCCACGTAAAATCATTGTGTTGATTTTACTGCATTTAATTTTCTGGTATTTTTCTGGAGTGTAGTAAGGGACCTGGTCCATTACTTGTTAAGTGAAGATACATAATTCTATCAACTATAATTGATGAGATGTTTGTTTTACAATCAAGTGGTGTACTTGAAAGCTTGTCCCTCTTCCTTTGATTAACATTGTTGTCGTCATTAGATAATGCAATCAAAGTTCGTCCAAACGACCAAGTTGATCGACCGAAGGCTCACCTTGTTGCCAAGGTATATACTTATATATTTGGGATTAATAACAGTGATACTTTCTCTCCTCTGGCATAAATACCATTTGTTTGTCTTTTTCTATCCATGGGTGATGTTTGACATTGGTCTCTTATCAGTTGGACATTCAATGGTTACCTAGAGGATGAAGTTTATATGAAGCAACCACCTAATTTTGTAGTTATGAATGGGGGAGTCAAGTAGGCATCAGTCATTTTATGGTCAAAAACAGTCTCCCTAAGCGTGGTTGGTAAGTTCACACAGTAATCTAGGAGTTCGGCATGACTCGTGGTGAAACACGACACTTTGTGTTTTATCAATATTTTGCTCCAAAGGTGTATTTATTTGGTAATTTTTATTGATGATATTGTTAGCAAGGGCGATGATCAGGATGGTATAACATGTAACACCTCAAACCGCAAAATGAAGAAAATCCTAATATTTAGAAAAATTGACAGTACCAGCGAAAGCACCCATGGACCGTAGGTAGAACCACGCCTGTAGGTGGGGTTCAGTCGTTAAGGTCAAAATTTTGATGGTCTCTGATCCCATTCACGGTCGACCAGTATGGGTCGTGGTTGGACCTACGGACCGTAGCCAATTGGAGAAAAATGGTTGTTAGGTCAACCTCAAACGGTCATATCTTTTAGCACAAAATGAATTAGGTGGCGCATGACCTATCAAATGAAAGATAATTGAATCCTCTTTCCAACGTCACCGAGTTTGCTAAAATTCAAGCTCGGAGTAAAAAGTTGTGCTTGTTTTAGTGAAGCCGTGTCGAGCAGAGCATGAACAACGAGTCCTAACGATGAACGGTAGTTCAAACGACGGCCCGTCAGTCATGTAGTAGATACAGTTTTCATTCAGGGTCGTTTTGGTCTTTTCCCCTATAGGTTGAGCACTTAAACTACTTCTTTTGATGCCTAAACTACATTGTTTTACTCAGCTTAGGCCTAATAACTTAGTCAGACATACCAGAACCCTCATTCCCCAAAAATCATCCAATCTTGGAGCAAAAAGAAAAGGAGAAGTCAACCAAACCTCCCAAGAACAAGCATCAGTGTTCTTCAAAGTTCAACACCCAAATCCAAAGGGTTTCCCCGTAGATTTCGTCAACAGGTATGTGGGATTTCACTAGTGAGTTCCTTTCCTCCGCTAGGTCCCTAGAATTCAATTAGTTCCTTGATTCTACATGTTTTGTTTAGACCTAGGGTTTCTAAACCCTCGGTACTTGTTGTGATTTAACCGTTATAGTATCCTAAATCGAATTAGCTTGTTTCTTGGAAAGTTTGCTTAGTTCCTTGCATGAAACTCAAACCCTAGTTTGTATAAATTCTCTTAGTTCATGAAATATACTTGTTAGGTCAGATAAACAAATAATCATGCTCCAGATTTCAAATGTTACATTATTAGTATATAAATATGACATTCAGATTTAATGTCAGTATTTTGAGTTGTTCAATATTTCAGTTACATTTAAGTCATATACACGTTTAGTTGGGAGTAGACTTAGCACTGAGTTGGACTAGGGTCCCTTGTACCCTCATAGTCCCAGAACTATGTGCCACAGGAATATAAGTCCCCTCTTCTGGGCATCAAATTTAGTGATCACACCAGTCATGCCTTTATACCCCTGGCAAGGTATATTAGGTTCTCTCAAAAGGGCGTATTCATTTAGCTAATGTGGTTTATGTTGGTCAATAGTAGCTCCCAAAGTCAAACTTCTAGTGCATATGTCGATTTATGTCAACTTTTTATGGGAGTGGAATATCTTTGTAACAAGTTGGGCATGATTAATATCTTTTTTTGAAAATAGTAATGTTGTATTCCACACCATTAAGGATATGTTGGTGACCTTCAAAAATTCGTACATAGAGGGGCTAACTACAAAGATCCTAACATATCTACTAGTTGGGCATGATTAATATCTATTCTCCAACTTGAGGAGGAGTGTTACTGAATGCACATAGACATATTATCATATTGTATTCATAGCACAATCATAGATAGAAGATATTTAGGGATTTTCTTATTTTGTTTCCTTAGGGCTCGTTTGGCCATGCGATATTGTATCATGATATGGTATCATAATATGGAATCATGAGATGAAATTGAAGTTTTATTTGGAAATGCGGTATGGAATTTTGATGTTGTATATTTTCTCAAACATAAAAAACCCACAAGTTCTCAAACTATTAAAATAGCTCCTATTGTTTATTCAATATTATCAAATAAAAAAAAACATAAATCGTATAATAAATTAGTATAAAGTTTTTTTGTTCTCCACTTAAGTAATTGTTTCATCAATATATTTGAGTAAAAGTGAAACACCTTTCATGGGTTCTTCAAGATTTTATTACTCAACAATCATGAAGTGTGAGTTAAAGTGATTATATGTTGGTGTGAATAATAAATTTTATGTCGGTGAGAATAACAAAATTTAAAAAGTAATGATGTGATTATAAATTTTATAACATGTGAAATAAATGGTTAGTAGATATAAATGTAAGGTTGTTTTTAACAAAATATAGACTTGTGGATCACTTATTGTATTAAAATAACTCAAAATATGATATGGTATTTCCATATCATGATTTTTGGAGAATATGGTAACACAACTCATGATACCAAATCATGAGATGGAACCAACGTAAAATTGCATGTCCAAACGCTGATTCTACCTTATGTATCACATGGCTAAATGCCTACTTAGATAGATTTGCTTTTAATTTTGTGTCATTAGATAGACTTGCTTGTACACATAAATAACCCTCATTCTTGGAATGATATGAAGAGTAAGATTGTTCCATTATCTCTATATTCTACAAAGCACATTGACACTTGTCCCTTCATTCGAGAGAAGAATTGAGCCATGATACATCGCCACAAGTTTTGTCAATTCAAAAGATCAACTTGCGGATATTTTCATAAAAATAACTTCAAGGATCCAGAATTGACTATAGTTGTGGCATACTAGGAGCATATGACTTGTACACTCCAGCTTGAGGAAAGTTTTAATTATGGCATAATTGGATAGTGAGATATGAGAATATTTAGACATGGTAAGATAAGATAGGGTAGATATGAGAATATTTGGAGTAATATCTTATTAGTTTCTTTCCTTATTTACACTGTGTAATAATTATTTAATCCCATCAACTTGAAGGAATAATCAATCAATTCAATTCTCAATATCTTTTCTTCTTCGTCTATTTTCTCATGGTACTAGAGCAGGCAGAGGTCATGAGATCGAATCTCACCACCACCATATCAAAAAGAATTTTCATATGCTTGGCCCATGAAAAAAATCAAGCCAGCATATGAGGGGGCGTGTAGAGAATATAATTCAATAATAAAAGAATGTTCATCTAACAACTTAAGCTTTTAGATGAGATGGTCACACACTTCAAGAGAGCACAATTCAAAACACCTACCACCAGTTTTAAACTACCCTTGGATGTTCACTTAACAACATAAGATATGCATAACTAAATATGTGGAATAAAGTGGAAAGGTGACTAGGAAGAAAAATTAGTAGTTATTCTATGAGAAAGTTTTAAATTATAGTTTACTAATTAGCACTTTACTTTATTCATTATCTTCAATAAAGCAACTTATTGATAATATCCAAGTTCCCTGATCAGAAGTCAAAGATCTATTAGTCATCATTTATGTTAGTACATTTCGAAAAAGAAAGTGTCCAGTTTACTGCTTACCCATCCCGTCTGTCTAAAAAACCAATATCAGATATTTTCAGAACTAAGATAGTGTATCTTTATTCTTCCAACTTCTCAGCCATTAGCATTGTTGCTTCTACAACAATAGTCAAACTAAGACCCAGAAAATGAAACATAGGGAGTATCAACAAACACTGTCCAACTTTAAATCAGCCTTACTTTGGATAATTTTCAATCGCATATAAACAATGCTACAGTAATCTAGATCCACTTACAACTTAACCTTAGAATAAGCTGCTTTATTTAAAAATTGCACTTTGAAGGCACCGGCTCTTTAAGTTATTAGTCACTTTGGCTGCAGAATGTCATATAGTTAAATGATAAAGATAAAATAGCAAAACATTTTGTTATCCTAAAACTTACCCAAAATATATTGGTACATAAAAAATTTATCCTTCACAACCATCACGGATTGGATAAGCCTTTTCTTTTGACAAGGCAAAAAATGATAAAAATATTAATTAATATAGCTTCAACTATTAGAATTTTTTTCGATAGGTTAAATTAAGTTGCCATAGCTTCGACTATTATCTTAAAGTTAATTGAGGTCCTAAGTTAATATAAAAGGAAGAATCTAAAAAAATTAAAAAGGGGAGAGAGAGACACCTTCAAATTTCTAACTTGATAAGGGCAGCCTGCAGGAATGAAAACTGCATCCCCTAATTTTTTAACAAAGGTCCATGGTTCAATTCCTGCGAAATAGAAAATAATTCAAATAAAATGTAAGAAGAAAAAAGAGAGAGTTCCACATCGAAATAGGAACATTTCAAGCTGTGAGATTCATACATGGAAAACTCACCACATTCTTCCTTAAGCTTATTTTTGTGATCCTTAGTCAAGTAAAATGTTTGATCATGTATAGGGTGAATAACCTACAATGAAAAACAAAATGGAGTTGGTAGTTGGTATATACAGAAAACAGTATTTTAAATAACAAGACAGAAAAACAAAGAATGAAATGTCTCACAGTTATCATTCTTGTATTAAATTATGAAGATATGAATAAGAAAAAAGGTAAATTCTTTAAACATTAGAAGAAATAGAGTGATGTTTATTTTCTTCATAAGTTCAACTTTACGTCTCTAGCAAAAACATCTCCATGGTAAATTTGATAATATACAAACAACAAGCTTCATCATGCGTATGGATTTCAAGATCAAGCAATGTTTTCTTAAATTTCTTGTTTCATCGTTTACAATTTCAGAAGATCATGTTTCGAAACATTCCCTCCTCCGTACTTGAATAATGAGTTTAAAGGCAAATTTGGGAGATCTAAAAAATATTTTAATGTCTAGGTAGGAAATATGTCAGATGTTGAAATTTCTTACTCAAGATTTTAAATTGGCACGAAGTGTAACATTATAGGTCCTGCTCTTAGGCAAAAGTTGAGGAACTGGTGACTTGGGTCACAGGTTTGAGCCTTGCGCCATGTGAACTAAGCTTGGTATTTAAGTGAAAAAGGGTATAAGTGCAGGCACAATATCCCCGAGTTTCAAAGGTTGCAGTAAGTCTTATGGGCTGACCCCATATGGATTTCTCTGTCGTTTAAAAACACCTTGTTAATGAAAGAAACATTCTACAACCAATTATTCTTAACCCCCAAGCCAAAGCCACGAAGAAACAATAGGACTCAATACTCATCCCAAAAGTATGAATGCTAAGCAAATTTCGTTCATACCTTTGGTATACGACAACAATTAATATGCCTGAATTCCTTGAAGTGCTTCCTAAGATATTCCTCCAACTTAGGAATATCTTGCCTTCTAAAGATGTCCCACAATGCACCTCCATCTATATCATCTGTGAGAAAACAAGAGTTTGAGAGAGAATTCAACTTTATTATTCCCACAAGCTATTGGTGTTTTAAATATAATCAATTTACAGTTGTGCAAGATTGTATATATGGTAGTCTAGTTAATTTGTAGAGATTTGATTATCTAGTTGCCATAGTTTGTTAGTACTCTTCATGTATAACTATAATCATTGAGAAATAAACAAGCTATTCTCTCCGGACCTTATCAAAAACATGGAATCAGAGCCTTGTAGGATTAAAAAGTGTAGTATGTCGAACTTCACGACTGGTTGGAATTAGCCACACGTAAAGGTGCGTGTATGGACCAATCTTGGTCTGGATCCTAATTTTGGCATCGCCTTGAAATTCTCAGTCGACTTAAGGCGGTCTTCTAGATATTGGACAAAGTTTTGAAGAATAAGCATCACCAATCAAGTTCAGTGATTTCTTTTGGTCATATTTGAGTTTGAATTACTTTGTTGTTTTGATTTGTTTTGAGCTGCAATGTTGTTTGAACAATGTTGTTGTTGTTTGAATTATATCATCCGTTGTTCAATTGGTTTCACATTTGGATCATTTGGGTATATTTTAGTTTCTAAACCATCTCCTGAACAACTGAGTATTTCAGTCTATTTGACTATTTGTTTTGTATCATGAATTTTGTTGGGTATTTCTCTGAATGGTTTATGTCTATTTGAGTTGAATCCTTTAGTTGTGAGTTGACTGCTTCACCATTAATACTTTTAGGGCTCGTTTGGTGTGAGGTATAAGCTTACATGTATCTGATGATCTTTACATGCTTGATGAGTGGGATTCTCAATTTGTGACCTGCTTAAGTGTTGTGTCTCAGCTTGAAGCAAATCAACAAACCACGTAATTGGTAAGGACATGTACCTAATGATCTCTATATCCTTGATGAATGAGAGTCAATTTATGGCCTGCTTAAGTGTCGTATCTTTGTTTGAAGCAAATTGTTTATTGGGACATCCCTCTCTACCTTTGTTAAAGAAGCTTTGTCCTCAATTTCAAAATATTTCTTCACTGAAATGCGAGTCATATCGATTTGCAAATCATTGTCGCAACTCAGTAGGACCAAGGGTTAATAAGTGTGCTAAGTCGGCTTTTGAGTTGGTTCATTCTAACATTGGGGGACCATGTCTAGTCACTTCCAAAACTAGATATAGGTAATTTTGTCACTTTTGTGGAGAATTTCTCTCAGATGACTTGGATTTGTTTTATGAATAGTCCTCTGAAGTTACTCACTTTTGTGCCTTCTATGATGGAGTTAAAACTCAATTCAATGTTTTGTTTTGTACTCTAAGAAGTGACAACACTAAAGAATATAAGTCAAAGAGTTAGCTTAGTCGCGTAAGATCCTCGAATCAAAATTAACCAATATTCATATGTTGATACACCCTCTAAAAATGGAGTTGCCGAGAGGGAGAATAGACATCAACTTGAGACTGCTCGGGCACTTTTACTCAAGATGAAGGTTCCTAAAAAATTTTGGGCAAATGTAGTCTCTACATCTTGCTTTGGATTAATCACATGTCATTTACTGTGTGTGCTGGTAATACACCATATAATGTTCTTTTTCCTAATAACTCATCACTTCAATGGATCCAAAGGTGTTTGGAAGCACATGTTATGTTCAAGATGTTCGACCATCCATTACCAATTTAGATCCTAAGGCATTGAAATGTGTTTTTTCTAGGCTATTCTCGCCTTGAAAAAGGTAATGATGTTAATCTACTAAACTTGGCAAATATGTCAATTGATGTTGTATTTTTGAAGACTACATACACCATTCTTCTATGCACCTCATAATTCTACAAGTCTGGGGGAAGATGAATGGTTAGTCTATCAAGTCACTCATGTTTTGACAAAACAATCCAATGTTGTTCCTTCATTTCTCAATTCTTTTGTTGATCACCCCCAACTGTAGTACCTTTGGTACCTGCTCCATCTGTGATAGCACGATTGCCATTGCTCAAGTCTACTCAAGAAAGCGAGAGACTAATGATACTTGTCATAAACCTGCTCGGTCACTTGATCCTTCAGAAAATCTCAACCTCCCTATTGCTCTTTGAAAAGGTACAGATACTTGCAAATCCACATATTTAATTCTTAGTTTTGTATCCTATGATCGTTTATCCTTTACGTCTAGATCTTTGATTTCTTCTCTAGACTCCATCTTTATACCCAAAAGAGTGAAGAAGGCTTTGAATAATCATGAATGGTCTAATCCAATGATTGACGAAATACATGCCACCTCAGAGGAAGATCACACGTGGGATTTGGTGGACCTATCGAAAGGAAAGAAACCAGTGGGATGTAAGTGGATGGTTTCGTAGCAAGGCTTAAGGCGAGGCTTGTGGCTGAAGGTATGCCCAAACATATGGGTAGATTATTCAAACACCTTCTCCCCAATTGCAAAACTTAATTTTGTTCGCTTGCTATTCTCTATCTCTTTCTGAGAATTGGCCTTCGCATCAGTTAGATATCAAGAACGAATTCCTTCATGGTGATCTTCAAGAGGAAGTGTATATGGAGCAACCACCGAGTTTTGATGCTCAGGGGGAGTATGAGAAAGTTTCGTCATTTGAAAAAGTCATTGTATGGCTTGAAGCAAAGTCCATGAGCTTGGTTTGTCATATTCAGTGAGGTAGTGCAAGATTTTGGGTTGAAAATGAGCAAATGGGATCACTCAGTCTTCTCGGCAATCAACATTTGGCTTTATTCTCCTTGTTGTATATGTTGATGACATCATCACAAGAGCTAATTATGCAGGGATTTCTGCCCATAAGTCTTTCCTCCATATCTGATTTCAAATGAAGGATTCGGGCCCATTGAGATACTTTTTGGAGTAGAAGTAAATAAAAGCAAGAAGAGAATTTTGTATCTCTAAGAAGATATATTCTTGACCTACTTGCAGAAACTAAAAGTTAGGAGCAAAACCTTGTAGTACTCCAATAGTTCCTAATGTGCCTCGTATGATAGATGATGATCTAATTAATGCTCTGTTAGGTTTTATTTGCCCTAAATTTCTTACCATAAATAGGTTTCCCTTTTAGAAAAAGGTTTTGGATTAACTAATCCTTTTTCTTGTAGGAAAAGGTTTAGGACTCTATAAATAGAGAATGTTCCTTCTAACTTAATTAGCATTCATAATGTAGTCTTAAAGTCTTTGAGAGTTTTTGGTTAGGGGGAGAAATTGTGGGTCACAAGCTTGATACATTATCACTTGTGTAAACCTCCCATGTATACTGAGTGAATTTGGTTGAGATTGTTTCCCTCTGTATTTTGTACTTTCATATTTATAGTGGATTGCTCATCTCCATTGTGGACGTAGGTCGATTGACCGAACCACGTCAAATCTTTGTGTCTTTTGATATATTTCCCGTTGTCTTTTTACTCGTGATCTTTCAAGATTTGCTTTGCTAGTTTTCGCATTTACACCTACTTATTTAGATCCTAACAAGTGGTATCAGAGCCAGATTCAATGACGGAGTCAGGTTCAGTGGTTCGATAATCGATGATTGAACCAGGTTAGAAAGAGGTGTTCATCTTGACGGGTGTAATTCTAGCTGCAATCTTTTTTACAGTAATGAAGATTTTGTTGAAGAAATTGTTTCAGAGAGGTTCTCTGTGTTGAGACATAAATTTTGCAAAGAAGATTATGAAGAGAAGAAGCAAGTTGTTGAAAATTAAGTAAAGAAGGTGGACAAATTTATTTTGTCAGAAATTCAAACTAAGGGGAAGATTTGTTAGGTTTTATTTGCCCTAAATTTTTTATCATAAATAGGTTTTTCTTTTAGGAAAAGGTTTTGAATTGACTAATCTTTTTTCTTGTAGGAAAAGGTTTAGGACTCTATAAATAAAGGAATATTCCTTCTAACTTAATCAGCATTCACAATGTAGTCTTAAAGGCTTTGAGAGTTTTTGGTTAGAGGGAGAAATTGTGGGTCACAAGCTTGATACGTTATCACTTGTATGAACCTCCCATGTATTCTGAGTGAATTTGGTTGAGGTTGTTTCCCTCTATATTTTGTACTCTCATATTTATAGTGTATTGCTCATCTCCTTTGTGGACGTAGGTCGATTGACCGAACCACATTAAATCTTTGTGTCTTTTGATATATTTCTCGTTGTCTTCTTACTCGTGATCTTTCAAGGTTTGCTTTGCTAGCTTCCGCATTTACATCTATTTATTTTCGGTCCTAACATGCTTTTGTGAAAAAAATAAGCGAGTAGATTACTATTGTAACAAGCTTGGCGTAATTAACATTTATGCTCCAACTTGAGTGAGATAGTTACTAAATCAATTTACAGTTGTGTAATCTTGGTTATCTAGTTACAATGGTTCGTTAGTACACTTCATGTATTTATATCATTGTAATCATTGAGCAATAAACAAGTTATTCTCTCCAAACCATATCAATAATAGAATAACTAAGTTTACATGTCCTAAAAACAGTGTTTTGGGAAGCGAGAAGCGGAAAAAAGCGATGAGGGCTTGCTTCACAGAAGCGAGAAGCGTGAAGCGAAGCGCGCGCTTTTTTTTTAAAAAAAGCGACATTTAGTATAAAAATAAAAAAATATTAAATAACTAAATAGAGGTAATATAGTCTTAGATTGAAAGAAATTACATAGGCATAAATACTCACAAGTCATAACATGTAAAGCAAAAAATCGAAAACATGATTAAATCACAAAGATTCAAACTCCTATTCTTCAACAAGGCTGCTAGACTAATCACAAAATTAAAAAAAAATAAGCAAAAGAATTGAAAAAAAAACAGAGGAGGCAGCAGTCAGTAATTAGAAACAGAGCAGGCAGCAGAGATTAAGAAAAAGAAGAGAAGAAGAAAAAACTAGAGTAGTGGAAACTCAGAGAGATAAGAGATGAAGCACAAGCGAAGATTGTATATTTCAGGAGAAAAGAAACTCATAGAGATGAACTAATAAACATTAGCTAAAAAAGAGAGGAACAAAAAGTTACCTGCAGTTGCAGTCGAGGTTGAAGAGAGAGGCAGCCTCAGTCGAGATCGTCAGGAGAGAAAGAAGTATTGTGAAAGAAGAGTCTAATTGTCGCTTTTTTTTTATAAAAAACGCACTTTATTGCGCTTTTGCCTTAGGGTCGCTTCTCGCTTCTTCATCTGAAGCGAGAGCTTTTTTCAGATCGCCTCGCCTCAAGATAAAAAAACGCACAAGGGTCGCCTCGCTTTGAAGCGCGCTTTTCATAACACTGCCTAAAAAGTAAAGGAAATCATACAAATCATACACTCATTATAGAATCGGGTAGGAACTTGGTTTGGTGAATATGCCTGCACACTAATTACTTGATCTTACGAACCTTGTAATGATGTCACCTAAAAGCACCTTTTCACAAACAAAATGACAATTAATCTCTCTGTCTATGGTCCTCTCGTGAAACAATGCATTCGATGCAATGTGATATGTAGATTCATTATCACACACAAGACTATTCCCTTAGTATCTCTAAATTTCAACTCCTTGAGTAGTTGCTTGATCCGTATGAGTCACGTGTTGCCACTGCTTCTTCACTAGATAAAGTAGACACATTTTGTTTTACTTTTTAAAGACACCAAATTTCCTCCAACTAGAACACAATATCCAAAAGTGGACAATCCTTCAGAGAGTGACCCTGCCCAATCAGTGAATATCCAACAATTTTCTCATGCGCTTGGTCTTCATAAAGTAGTCCATTCCCTGAAGCAGATTTTGTGTATCAAAGAATGTGAATAATTGCATTTCAATAAAACTCACAAGGAGAATTAAAGAATTGACTTACAACACTAAATTGGAAAGTAATATCAAGTCGGGTCACTACGAGATAATTCAACTTTCCTACCAGCCTTTTATATCTTCCATAATCGCTAATTGGCTCCCCTTGACCTAGTACGAGCTTAACATTTGAATCCATTTGAGAATCAATACTCTGCAATCCGGATTACATGTGATGACTATCTCATCAATGTACACTACTAAATACATTCATAAACCTGGACCTGTGTGAGCACAAAATGATCACTTCATTTCATATCATTCCAAACTTCTAAACAACCATGCTAGACTTCCCAAACCATGCTCAAGGAGACAGGTTTAGGCCATCTAGTGCTTGTCTTACTCTACACACCATATTACTAGACTCCCGTTGAGCAACAAAACCATGTGGTTGCTCCATATATACCTCATCTTCGAGATCTATATGAAGAAAGGCATTTTTAACATCCGAACAACAACCATGGATAAAACAAGAGACAGAAGCAATCTTGGCCATTGGAGAGAAGGTATCACCATAGTCAAGACAAAAAATTGTGTATAACCCTTGTCTCTAGGTGAGCTTTTAGGTGATCAATTTGTCCATGAAGGCCAACATGTAATGTATATACCCAAAGACAACCAACTGCAGATTGTAGATTTATCAGGAGATGATGGAGGAAGATGGAATTATAGGATATGAAATGGAAGGATAGATTATGGTGGGATCTCCAAAAGATGGAACTATTAAAACCTCAAAAATGCCTATTTATCAGCAGAGAAGGATGTAAAATAGGACCTTTAATAAAGTAACGTTTACAGACATAAGGTATTGTTGAAGGACAAGTGAGAAGCATTGATATGCATTCAATTCAATACCTTACATAACCAAGAAAACACATTTAAGAGCATGTGGAGCCAATTTGTCTTTTTTTGTCGTGAGTATATAGACAAAGCATATGCTCCCAAAGACACATGGTGCAAGAGGTGCCTTAGCGTATGTTATTTGCAGTTGACTTAGTACACACTGATGAGACGTGCAATGGAGTTAATGCTAAGTTAGAGGTGTGGAGACAAATATGGAGACTAAGGATTCAGGTTGCACAGGACCAAGACAAAGTATGTGAACTGCAAATTCAATGATGTGATGCATGAGGTAGCATGGAAGTAAGGTTTGACACACGAAATATCTCTTAAGAGATAGATTCAAGTATCTTGGGTTTATAAGGGTAGTGGAGACATCGACAATTATATCACACATTGTATTTACAACGTTGATGGAGTGAAGGCTCGCCTCTAGATTCTTGTGTGATAAAAAGCTACCATTGAAACTCAAAAGTGAGTTCTATAGAATGGTGGTTAGATCGACATTGTTATATGAGGCAGAGTAATGGCCAATCAAAAACTCTCATGTCCAGAAAATGCATGTTGCAAAAATGAGGATGTTGAGGTAGATGTGTGGTCATATTAGGAGCGATAAAGTTATAAATGGGGATATTCGAAGGAAGGTGGAAGTGGCCTCGGTGGTAAACAAGTTGAGGGAAGCAAGATTGAGATGATTTGGACATGTGAATAGAAGATGTATAGATGCACTTGAGACGAGGTGCGAGAGATTGGTTATAAAGGGTAGGAGGAGAAGAGAGGTAGGCCAAAGAAGTATTGAAGAGAGGTGATAATGCAGGAAAGGATATAACGCAACTACCAGGACATGACCATAGATAGAAAGGTGTGGAAGACACGTATTAGGGTAGAAGGTTAGTAGGTAGTGTAGTTTTGGCTTGTTTAGGGTGGTTGGTATTTATCATTTTTAGTATTCTTTTCAATAATCTATCCTAGTATGTTATTTATTGTGTTTCAATTATCGCACTATTTTGTTGTTTTGTTTGCTCTATTCTGGTAGACTTTGCATTGTTTCCTTGTTATCTGCTTTTTTTCTTCATTGTGTCCTTTATACCTAGATTTGATGCACTTGAGCCAAGGGTCTTTCAGGAACATCCTCTCTACCTTCACGAGGTAGTGATAAGGTTTGCGTACATTTTACAATCCTCATACACCACTTGTGCGATTTCACTAGGTATTTTGTTGTCGTTGTTACAGAATATTCCCATGATTCTAACATCCTCAATCATTTCACATTTTTTGCAAAAAATAAAAACAGGATATCTTTGCACTCATCAATTTTACCATTTTTCTTAATCCCTCCACTTGATTCAAAAGCGTTAGTTAAATTGATTCCCCCACCATCTGAACCACTTTAGCAACATTGTCTCTTTGGTTCCACACAGGAAGCAGATGCAACAATGATTGATTACCACAATTTAGTTCACTAATATTGCTTTCTTTTTCTTGTTTGGATAAGTAATTCACGAAGTCTAGAACTTCAATTAGGTCAGGTATCTCACCTAGTAAAGACTGGTCCTCGTTGAACTTAGATGATGTTTCGATTTCACATTTGTGCTCCTCCTCAGTCGTTTGCAATTCCCAATTATCCTGGGCAGCATGCTTTCTTTTCAATTTTTTAATCCACGAAAGCTGTTCAGGTGTCAGGTTTATTCCTTGTGTATGTGTCAGCACATTTACCTGGAATATAGGTAGAAAATAGATAAATGCATAGATGCAGCCTAACAATATAACAAGGACTAACATTGTTCACCATGTAATATCCTCTGCCGAGAATACCACATAGGAGGATTTGAAGGCACTCTTCAAACAGAGAACGAACATTTCTTTTGGGGAGTGCAACAGAATTTACGACTGTCAATTCTCCAAGTCTCTAGCATATATCCAACCAAATTAGAGAACATAAGTCACTTCAGTTTTTGGGATACATTTTCAGGATGTTCATTCTCTTTTGGTGTGAAAGCAGTTTTTCCAACTTTGACTTGTTTTTCCATTAGCTTGCATAAGTCTAAAGTTAAAGAGCACTTGCAATAACCTAAGCATGTATTGTCCATGTGAAAAACTTAGTTGGGCATAATCCAGAGTCAACATAGAAGAAAAATATGCCCAAAGAAAAATAAAACAATTCAGTATACCGAATCAGACATATCAACATGCAGCTTCGTCATAGAGTCCCCACGCCCCAGCTCCTTGGGAACTCCATAAGCAATATATGTTTTTGGTCTCATGCCAGGCATCAAATACCCTGGTGGCAGTTTGACAGCAAGATTCAGATAGCCACTTTGAGGATGCATGTACTCCTTAAAGGGCAAGCTTCTAACAAACTCAGCAGAGTGACGAGGTGACCGCTCATCGAAAAAATCAGATGAAGGCCAGTTTTTCAACTGCAAAATCTGGGGCCAACCAGCACTATCAAACCGACCTTCCATGTATCCCATAAAAAATTGGTGGATGTTAACTTCAACCTGCAGTAATAGAAGGAAAAATGAATCGTTAAAATGGGTTAAACTTAACAGCAAATAAATTATACTTGAGAAGGCTAAAAGGGACAAATGCTTTTTAGAAACACTGCACTACACAGGCCAATTACAGCTCAAGTACACATTGCTACTTGCTCTGTAATTGCTCATGTTGCTTAGTTGCCGCTAGTTGTGTACTTCATTCGCAAAAAGCATTGTTGAAGTGTATGTACATCTCATCTAAAAGCTTAAGTTGTTAGAGAGAACACACTTGTATTTACTTAACTATATTCTCAATACTCCCCTTCACATGCAGACCTGGGTTTTTTCATGGGCCATACATGTGGAATTCTTTACTGGTGACGTATGGTGGTGAAATTCGATCTAAGGACCTCTACCTGTTTCTATATCATGTTGAAGTTTGTGACCATCTCATCGAAATTTTAAGCCGTTAGAGAGAGCACACTTTCTCAATTATATTCTCAATAAGTACTAACCCAATTAGATGCTTCCCTTCATACTACCTCAAGTCCATTGAGTTGATCTAGTTAATATTCACAAAGTCATCAACTTTATTCTTCATACCGCGAGCAACAAGAATTATTTTTAAGCACATTTCAAGTAAAGAATTGAGTGGTTAGTGGTGCTTTTCATGAAGTTTCAAAATGAAAATAAAGTTGATGAACTCATGCTTAATGTTCTAGCCCATAAATAATGGGATAAAAGTAGTCTATCAATTTAATGGACTTGGAAAAACCTATAGTTGATGAAAGACTAAGATGGTCATGCAGAATAAATAGAACTACCTACTCCATTAAACACCTAATGACCTAACTAGTGTATCATTAGTTAAAAAAATTAACAAAAAACAAAACAAATTATCCATCATAAAAAGAAGCTTTAAGAGTACATATCTTCCAGTATGCCGACATAAAAATAGATGCTTTAAGATCCCACCTGCCTCTATTAAGTAGAACAATTAAGTTCCTTTGAGCTAAGCCATAGCGTTAAGGTTATATTCATCGCAACAAACTGTGTATCATGCATTAAGTGCTTAGATATTTATTTGGGCTATTAATTGATATGTATTTCAGTTTGCATCCAATTACACTGTCATCCAACCAGAGCTGACACACCAGTGATGGAGAGATTCTTCATAACTAAGATATTGATGTCTAGCTAAACTTAAAGCAAGGAAAACCATAAATTGATGCCTCAGAAAGTACACTGCAACAGTAAATAGATATGGGGATTTACCCCAGTATTTTCCTCCATGCATCATTGGGACAACTGGCGAGTATTAAACTTACCTCACACCAATCCAAGCAATTGATAGCGCTGGCATTCAAATGAAGGGGATGGTTTATGCTCTTTATCTGGCGACATGCTCGACACATAACCATGGGCTCCCAGCTTAAGCCTGATGTAGTCTCAAGCACATTACCGATAATTGCAGGCTCACCTTTCAGCCAATGACATTGAAAATGCTTCAGATCCCCCTGCTGAAGATCTTTAGCTGCTGGACAGTATAAACAATTGCCATCAGAATCTTCACGAAATGCTGCTTTACGCAATTTGCTTTTCTGCATACCATTTTCATCCATTGATTTCATACATAAGCATGACTCCTGAGGCATTTCATGCTTATATTCCAATTCAAGTCGTTTGAAAATATCTTCAGCCTCTTCCAACAACTCAGAGATCAGAGATTTTGACTTTGATGTCAGGCACTTCAGCTCTAAAACTCCCTTAACACAGCCACCAAAATTTTCTGGTGGACAAGGGATGCTACCATCTTCATTGCATTTCCATTTACCAGCAGGGTAACCAGAATTCTCTGGGAGAAGCCCTCCATCATCCCCAGGATCCATTCCAAATGCAAACTTGGCATCTCCCACAGAATCATTGTCAACCATCTTTGATAGAATATAATAGAATCGATAATTCATGTTTTGATGATAGACAAGACGCACAAAGAACAGTAGCAAATATACGCAGCAAAAGAAGCCAAGCTAGAGTCCAAGATCGAGTAAAACGGAGTTATTTGTACAAAGCCAAAAATAATATATTAAAGGTACAAGTTGATACAAATAAGGAAAACCTTAAATATATTATTAAGGAAGGAAGTTGTATATAATAAGGATTGTACTTTAAAAAAGGAATCCTTGTTTAACAATAACTTCCTTACCTTATCAGATAAGGATTGTACAAGGCAAAATAAATTCTATAAGAAGAGCACGAGGCAGAGGAAGAAATGCACGACTTCACGCAGAGAACAAGGGAGAATTATTCATCAAATTGAAGTCTTCAAGGTTGATAGGATTACTACGTTTAAAACATTCTTGAGTAAGAAGGTTTTATCGTATAGAACTATTTGTCTTGTTTTTGTTCTTAATTGTAGTTTACAGTTTATTGTACAAAGGGTGGGTTTGACTCTTTGTAGGGTTGAGTGTTAGTATGAGTTGTAACAAAAGGTGGGTTTGGCCTTTTGGAGAGATCAATTGGAGTCAATCGAGGGAGTAGTAGAGATAAGACTTTTGATTATTGAGTTGTAATCACAAAATCTTATAGTTGAATTAATAAAACGAGGTTTTTCCTTCCTTGAGTGAGGAAGGTTTTTAATTCAATAAGTGTTTGTGTCTTTACTCTGTCTTTACTTAAAAGCAACTTACACGAACCTGGTTCGTGTTCTGGGGTAAGGTTTCTTCAATTGGTATCAGAGCAGGTCTTTTCGTTAAAAGATTCACACCTTGAAAAGACTCAATGGCAGCACCACCTACCCCACAAGAGGGAGCTTCACAAACACGACCATCACTGTTCAATGGAAAATATTATGGATGGTGGAAAAATCGTATGATGGACCATCTTATTGGCGAAAATCCTGATCTATGGGGAGTAATTCTAGATGGCTCAACCATACCTATGAAAACCGCAACTGATGGAATCACCAAAATCCCAAAGGAAAGAAAAGAATGGAATGTTGAAGACAAGCTTGCAATTCAAAACAATGCCAAAGCCAAGAAAATTCTGATATGTGGCATAGGACCAGACGAATACAATCGAATCTCGTCATGTCAAGATGCCAAAGCCATATGGAAAACACTGCAAACAGCTCATGAGGGAACAACGCAAGTCAAGAAGTCTAAAATTGATAACTTGAACAGGCAATATGAGCTGTTCAGGATGGCAGAAGGGGAGACTATTCAAGACATGCACACCAGGTTCACCTCCATCATTAATGAGATGTACTCTTTAGGAGAGATAGTGCCTAATGGAAAGGCAGTAAGGAAACTCTTGAGTGTCCTTCCTGAAACTTGGGAAAGCAAAGTCGAGGCTATCACTGAAGCCCGCGACCTAGACTCACTGGCCATGGATGAGTTAATTGGTAATCTCATCACATACGAACTCAAGAAAAACCAAGAAAAGAAAATTGGAGGAAAAAGAAAGGAAAGGAACCTGGTTCTAAAAGCTACTACATCAGATGATTTTGAAGAGGAAAATACTGCCCTCATAACCAAAAGGTTCACCAGAATGCTAAAGAAAGGGCAGACCTTTCAAAAGAAAGTTTCTCAAAAACCATCTGAAAACACTAAAGACCAGGTTTGTCATAAGTGTGGGAGCCCAGATCACTTCATCAAATTCTATCCACTTTGGGCCTTAGAGCAGAAAAAGGCAAACTTTGAGAAGGGCAAAGACATCAAAAAGGATAAGTTTGTCCCCTCAAACAGAAGAATGACAACTCAAGAGACAGATATGTCAATGAAGAGGGCCTTTGCAGCAATGGGGAATTCATCTGATGAAGAGTCTGAGGGTGATGAGACAGAAAACCAGTCTCTTCTTGCACTAGAACAAGAAGATGATTATGACTTTCTTGCGCTTGTAGCAGTGGAAACCAAGGAAGAAAAGGAAACCTGCAGATCACAAGAAACCATACTAGCACTCATGGCTGGATCAGATTCTGAAGATGATGAAGAAGATGACAATCAAAGCAAGGTAAGTTTTCATCACATCAAAGTAAATATTGAATCATATTCTAAAAAGGAACTAGAGTCCTTATTGAGTACTCTTATAGATGCATATCAGTCTGTCAATTCTAAAAGAGAACAAGTGATGGAAAACTATGCATCTTTAAGAGAAGTCAATGACAATCTTGAGAAACACAATCACTTTCTTCAAAATAAATTAAAATAACAGATTAAAATCTCAGAGTTAAGTCACAAGGGCAAAAACTCTGCTAGTGAACTTCAATTAGCTCTAGAAGAAAAACTAAAATTGTTAACCATAAAATATCAAGCTTTAACAGAAAGGAATAGGTTGTTACAAGAAAATCTTGATCATACCAAACTAGATCTGGAAAGAAATCTTAGATGGACCAGGTCCTCTGAAATTTTAACTCAGATTCAAGAAAAGCAAATCACTAGTCGAAGTGGGATAGGTTTTAAAAAACAGAATAATCTTGTGTCACACACTATTCACATGTCTAAAAGTTTATGCACTCATTGTGGAAACTCGGGTCATTTAAAGAATCAATGTAAAGTTTTATTTGAGGCTTTTCAGAAAAATGTTAAGTTCACCAAAAAGGAAAAGACTGATACGGCTAAGAACCTGGTTCGAAATAAAAATGCTCCAAATAAAAGGTTTTCTTATTTGCCTTTATGGGCTAGAAGAAATCTTATTCATCCTTTTACTCACATAAAGGGGCCCAAGCTAATCTGGGTTCCCAAGACTAATCTTTAACTAGTGTTTCAGGTGAAGGTGAGAGGGAAAAGACCAACTTGGTACATGAATAGTGCATGCTCCAAAATGGTGCTAAAAATGGTAGAAAATTCCTATCGCTCTTTGATTTTCAAGGAGGCAGTTTATTCCTTGAAAAGGATGAGAAAAATGGAAAAAAAAGTTGAAGAAAGTGACATGATATCAAACATCTTTGATGATGCAAATTTAGGAAACACTGCATATGAACCTGGTTCACAGCTAACAATCATTGATTCACCTGTAACATGAATTACTACTTATCTATGGTTCTGGAGATTGGGGGAATATTAGAGCAATTGATAAGTAAGAGTATGGCACACCTTTGGGGGAACTTTGTTGTGTGAACATGATCCTTGTTGTTCATTGGAAGGTATTAAAAATTGACAAGGGTTGGCTCTCTGTGAATCAGCTTAAGATTCATTTGATCTGGGAGAATATGATGATGCGACATTCTTGTGAAGGCCTTGAATATGAAGAACTTGAGAAAAATCAGTCAAAGCATGGTGTTATCGAAACAAGTTGATGCATTATCATGATTTTCTTTAATAATTGGCTAGTAAAAAAATAATCTTACGCTTGAGTAATTATACAATGAATATCTGCTAACTCAACCTCGTACTGTAACAGGTACACACTCAAGTCACATCTCAAACAATGCTTAGAAAGTCTGCGGATGTTATTTGTTCTCTTTGCTAACACCATTAAGTAAATCATGAAGAAACACACACAAAAAAAAAGGGGGAACCTGGTTTCTCTGTAATACTCAGGTATGTACCATCCTTTTTCAATGCATTAATTTCTTGAGTTTGGGTCAAACATAAGCACTAATGAACCTGGTAGATCATCAAAAATTCAATTTTCTTAAAGATCACCAAGAACCCTCTTTGACAATAAGCATCGTTCAATCCCAAACTGCTCTAATGACTAAAATCTCAGTATTGAAGTCACTCATACTTTAATTTAGGGGGAACCTTGCTTTACCACCCACATCTGAACCAGGTTCATAAACTCCAAAATTGATATTTCATCCATTCCAAGTATATAACTTGTCTATCTCTCAGGGGGAACAATTCTCATAGAAATAAATTGTTGCTTGCTATCATTATTGATAAACACATCTCTTTGTGCACCAAAATGTGATGAATCTCTTACTGGTAGTTGGTACTCCTTCAAAGTTGTCATCAAGAAAAAGGCTATAAAAAAAAAGGAAGAAAATCATGGAGGAATGAAAATGTTACGGAGTAGAGTTAAAAAAAATAAAATGATGATGTATCTCATGCTTCTCTTGATGAAATTTCACATTCTAAGAAAACTGATCAGAATAAAGAAGCTGGTGCACAATGGGCATACTGAAAAAATTATCAATGACCGTAAACATCCCTTTCTTCCTCACTTTAGTAATCTTTGTCACAATCCTTATCCTCAAATTTTATACTCTTTTGACTCTTTGATGTGCTTATGTCTGTCTCATACTCATGATATTATATGTTTTTGATTAAGGGCATAAATTGGTACATATTTGTTTATTTCGTTTCTCATTGAAGATCTTAATTGTGTATGAGTGTCAGATGACTAATATCCTCAGATTAACTAACCATTTTGTTAGCAGAAGTGTACTTGAAAGTGTTGCCCAAGTGGCTATGAGTTAAAAATGATATTGCACTCATTGAATGTTATTCGAATTCTTTGGTTATTGATTTTCAATGATGCCAAAAGGGGGAAATTATATAATGTGGATAGACATATGCATAGTTTGTCATCATCAAAAAAGGGGAAATTCTTGGGGAATGAGAAAACATGAAGTTTTTAGTTTTGATGGATGACAAAGAATTGAAGTTTTTGGAAGTGTTTGATGCATTTGAAGTACCATTGGGAGAAAGCAGGATTTTAACTCATGCAGATATGTTCAGTCAAATCATTCTTGCTGAGTGTGGAATTCCTATGGAATCGGAGCAGGTTGAAAATGCTTCTCCACGTACATCTGGTCCTGTTGCTCAGTTACTCAAGGAACTCAAAGTAGCTGAAGAAAAATATGCAACTCTTGAGTCAGAAAACCAGAAGTTACATGCTGAACTCCACACTTCAAATGCTGAAATTTACAGGTTGAAGGATCAGTTAGTGCAGCAGCAACTTGCTAACAATGCAAGAGTTGACAGAGTTCTGGATATGCTGGCTTCTGCTCAACCAAGCCTGGACAACCTTCAAATTGAAAAAGCATCTTGTGTGAACCTGGTTCGCTTAGTTGTTTAAACTATGTGTTATGCTCAACTGGCTGAGCTTAAATTGTTGCTATGGATGATATTTGGTTTTGATCAGCCGCTGTTGGACTCTTTTTGATTTGTCAAAAGGGGGAAGAGTATTTGCATGCATCACACAGAAAGATTTGTTTGTCTTCATCAAAAAGGGGGAATATGATAGAATATGATAGAATCGATAATTCACGTTTTGATGATAAACAAAACGCGCAAAAAACAGTAGCAAATATACGCAGCAAAAGAAGCCAAGCTAGAGTCCAAGATCGAGTAAAACGGAGTTATTTGTACAAAGCCAAAAATAATATATTAAAGGTACAAGTTGATACAAATAAGGAAAACCTTAAATATATTATTAAGGAAGGAAGTTGTATATAATAAGGATTGTACTTTAAAAAAGGAATCCTTGTTTAACAATAACTTCCTTACCTTATCAGATAAGGATTGTACAAGGCAACATAAATTCTATAAGAAGAGCACGAGGCAGAGGAAGAAATGCACGACTTCACGCAGAGAACAAGGGAGAATTATTCATCAAATTGAAGTCTTCAAGGTTGATAGGATTACTACGTTTAAAACATTCTTGAGTAAGAAGGTTTTATCGTATAAAACTATTTGTCTTGTTTTTGTTCTTAATTGTAGTTTACAGTTTATTGTACAAAGGGTGGGTTTGACTCTTTGTAGGGTTGAGTGTTAGTAAGAGTTGTAACAAAAGGTGGGTTTGGCCTTTTGGAGAGATTGATTGGAGTCAATCGAGGGAGTAGTAGAGATAAGACTTTTGATTATTGAGTTGTAATCACAAAATCTTATAGTTGAATTAATAAAACGAGGTTTTTTCTTCCTAAAGTGAGGAAGGTTTTTGATTCAATAAGTGTTTGTGTCTTTACTCTGTCTTTACTTAAAAGTAACTTACACGAACCTGGTTCGATTTCTGGGGTAAGGTTTCTTCAATCTTCTTGGAAAATCTAGGCCTTCTGGAAATGGTAGTTCTGGCATCCAATCTCACATCACCATGCAAATCAACAACCCCGCTGTCAGTGAATTTCATGATTACTTCTTCTTCACCTCCCTTATAAATACCATCTGTAAGATCCTGGCAACAAGTAAGGCATAGAACATAGGAACAGCTGGAACAATTTCTGCGAAGATCAAAAATGGATGTTTTGCAGTTGTTGCTACACCAAGCTTAGCTCATTTCAGTTTATTTGAACATCATCCAAAAAAATTGACATGGAAAGAGGAGGTCTTTCATGCTTACCAGTGTATACGCTCACTCCTCCGGCACTTTGCCTTAGGAAGCATTAACTCTGACACAGGTACTCCTGACCAAAATAAACAATGGAAATTCTAGTTACAATAGGAAGCAGCTGAAAATGCATTACACATTTGGTTTTTCTTGGAGGAAGTTGGTCACTACCTACTACAGGAAACTATTTTTTCATATTTAGGAATATGTTGTAACACTATCCATTTAACATTTCAGATCCTTTCAAACTCAACCCCAATATATATATGGCAGAGAAGAGCTATTTTACTATGTTCTCTAGCTGTGGAAACAGATATCACATAACAGAATCTTAAATGCATATTTATGGTTGCCCAAATGAAAAGAAAATGCATATCAAATGAAAAATACATAGAACTGTTATGGTATCAAATTTTTAAGCAAGATAATAGAACCTTGAATCTTAACTTCAATCTCCATCTCCATCACTTGCTCTGTGTTGAATCTTCTCAAGAAAGGCAAAAGCTTTTGCACTATAAATTTAGAACATTGAATCTTTTCTTCTTCGCTAATCTCACAATATAAGTTCTTCAAAGCCTGCAAAAAAAATTTGATAGGAGTGTCTTACATATATTATTAACCTGCAAAATTGGACTGTAACCTAATAAAAGTGGAATAACAAAAGAAACCAACCCTTATTGGCCCATCCAACCGCAAGCAAGTTTTGCAATTACAGTTTTGACGACAAACGGGACAAGACTCTTCAAACGCCACCTCAGGCATCCCAGGGTACCTATTATTAATCATAAGGGGAAAAAGGCACTCATGAGAATAAACAAAAGAAAAATACATGAAACAAATAATAATTGGTGTTGGAGTTGACAATATTAAGCAAAATAGATTGGATATATAAAGCTTCAAGCGGTTAAAATGCTCCTCATGTTTCGCATCTTATCAGTTGTCAAAATAAAGGCACAAGGAGCATAGTACTGTTTCTTGACAAGTTAATTACAATTAAAAGCTCAGAAAGTTACTCACATAAGAAAATACAAGCAATAATACAGTTGGTAGATGTTTTCAGTACCATGTGGTCATGCAAGGAACACAATATCGCTTTGTTTTACAACTGGTGCACCTAACAACCCTTCCTTTGTCATTCCTCTGGCATTGATGACACATATTGGACGCAATCTCATTCCCCTGCCATATAGTTGATTCAAAACAAGGATAATATTCGAGACTTTTTAAGTCTAAGCATTGAGAATGTTATAGATTCTTTTTTACATTTTCAACCTTCCGACGCTTGTCTCTTCTGTGGCTTTTACTTACAGTTTTCTCTTGTTTTTGTTTCTCACTTTCAAGCTTTTCTCTGATGTTTTTGCCACGCTTTTCTTCTTTTCTGTACCTGTATTGAGTTGTTCTTCTTCAGGCAAGAGAGCAATTTCATTTTTAGTAGCTGTATTGAGTTTTTTTTCGTCATTCGAAGCAGCAATTTCTTGCAGGTCATCCTTATCAGTTACAACATTTTCTCTTGTATTGTTGCGACCTTTCCCCTTCTTTTTCATAGCTCTTCTTTTTTCTCACATTCAAAATTTTCTCTTCCACGCTTCCTTCTTGCATTGCAGTGTTGTTCATTAACTAACTTGTCAACAACTCTGTTCGACTTCCGAGCTGATTTTGGCTCTATTTTATGGCGATCAGGCTTACTCTGTTTTTCTACAGACTTTTCGACATCATCTACAGCATTTTGTTTCACATTCTTTCTACAGCGACCGCTCATTTTCACCTCTTAATCTACTTTCGCTATTCCCCTATACTCTTTCTCTTTTGCCAATCCAAAAGGTAGGGTTTTAAAGAAATGCAGCAAGGAGAGTTCACAAATTGTACGAACCAAACAATGACTTGACTTTACGAGCACTGTTTTCTGGGTACTATAATTTCCTCCCATACTTTAATTTTCGGTATATGGATGTAAATAGAGAAAATTAAATGAAATTGGTTTGGTTTTTGGAGAAGTTGATCAAATTAATTTTAAAAAGTAAATTTGGGATCAAATTGTTGTAAAATCAAGATTATAAGAAGAAGACAAGAGAGATAGACGTAGGAGAAGACTTTCTTCTTATTCAATGATATGTAAGTTTTATATGTATATAATACAATAGCAAATCCTATTTATAGAGTGAGAAATCACTCCAAAAGTCAATATATTAAGTATGAATAGATACATTCTTATTCAAAAAGGTTCATGAAACCTAGTGAATATGAATGGTTGTTCATGTACTAACTTTATGGACTATCCACTTATTCAATGGATTTATAACAACCCTTTGGATGTCCATAGATATTGTATCTTGTTAAAACCTTACTAGAAATCCTGTGGAAAAAATTCTAGTGAAGAAAAAAGAGTACACATATCTTTTGATACACATTATTTGCTGCCTCATTAAAAACCTTTCTAGGAAATCCAGTGGGACAAAACCTAGACTAAGGAAAAAAGAGTACAATGCATATTTTACTTCCCCTGATAAAAATCACAATTCAGATGGTTAAATTTCTGTATTCCAAAATTGTGAATCATCTTCTCAATAGTTGAGACCGGTAAAGATTTGATAAATAAATCTGTTGGATTATCACTCGAATGAATTTGTCGCACATCAATATCATCATTCTTCTGGAGATCATGTGTGAAGAATAATTTTGGTGAAATGTGTTTCGTTCTATCTCCTTTTATAAAGCCTCCTTTTGATTGAGCTATGCATGCAGCATTGTCTTCAAAGGGTATTGTGGGTATCTTGATGTCACACTTCAAACCACATCTTTCTTTGATAGAATGTATTACTGATCTTAACCATATACATTCTCTGCTTGCTTCATGAATGGCTATTATCTCAACATGATTTGAAGAAGTAGCGACAATAGACTACTTCGTAGATCGCCATGATATAGCAGTACCTCCGTATGTGAACAGATAGCTTGTTTGTGATCGAGCTTTATGTGGGTCAAATAAATAACCTGCATCTGCATGACCAACAAGATATGCATTATCTTTGTTAGTATAAAACAGACCCATATCACTAGTTCCCCTTAGATATCACAATAGATGTTTAACTCCATTCCAATGTCTTCGTGTAGGGGAAGAACTATATCTTACTAACAAATTAACAGAAAATGCTATGTCAGGTCTCGTAGCATTAGCAAGATACATAAGTACCCTAATTGCACTAAGATAAGGTACTTCTGGACCAAGAGGTTCCTCATTCTCTTCTTGAGGTCGGAATGGATCCTTACTCACTTCAAGTGATCGGACAACCATTGGAGTACTTAATGGATGTGCTTTGTCCATGTAAAATTATTTCAAGATTTTCTCAGTATAGGCAGATTGGTGGATGAAGACCCCGTCTACTAAATATTCTATTTGTAGTCCAAGACAATTTTTTGTCTTTCCAAGGTCTTTCATCTCAAATTCTTTCTTTAGATATTCAATTACCTTTTGAACCTCTTCTGGAGTTCCAATGAGATTAATACAGCAAGAATAACAAACCTCAATGTTGTTTTCTTAATAAATATACAAGGAGAAATGACATCGTTTATATAACCTTGTTTTATCAAGTACTCACTGAGACGATTATACCACATGCGCCCTGATTGTTTTAAGTCATATAATGACTTTTGTAATCTGATTGAATATATTTTTTGAGATTTTTAACTACATGCTTCAAGCATTTTAAGTCCTTCCGGAACTTTCATATAAATTTCATTATCAAGTGAACCGTAAAGGTAAGCTATAACCACATCATTAGATGAATTTCAAGATTTTCATGTACAGCTAAATCCTATGAGATATTAAAAAGTTATTGCATCCATAACAGGTGAATATGTTTCTTTATAGTCGACATCGGGTCGTTGAGAGAATCCTTGTGCAACAAGGCGTGCCTTGTATCTTACAATCTCATTTCTCTCACTTCTTTTTCATACAAAGATCCATTTATAGCCAATTGATTTAACATCACTAGGCGTTTGGACTACTGGTCCAAAAACCTCACGCTTAGGAAGTGAATTTAATTCTGATTAAATTGCTTCCTGCCATTTTGGCCAATCACGTCTTTGTCAACATTCTTCGATGGATAGAGGTTCAAGATCCTCATTTCCTTGCATAATGTTAAGTGCAACATCATATGCAAAAACATTATCCACTATGATTTTTGATCGATCTAAACTTATCCCATCACCTGTAGAACTTATTGAGAGTTCTTTATTTACTTGAGTCTCGGGTTCACTGATCTCTTGAGGAATATCAGGATTAATCAGATCTTGAATTTCTTCGTGAAATTCTTTTGTAGTGTCATTTTTTGTATTTCTTTTTCTAGGATTCTTAGATTTTGAACCCAATGGTCTATCACGCTTCAGGCATATTTGTGATTTAGAAGCTATGACACTTATAGATGGTCCTTTTGGGACGTCGATTCGGATAGGCACATTTACTGCAGGAATATGTGACTTTGTTATCTTTTTTGAATCAGTAAATGCGTCTGGCATTTGATTTGCTATGTTTTGCAAATGGATGATCTTCTGGACCTTTTGTTCACACACAGGGGAGCATGGATCAAAATGAGATAATAATGAAAATTTCCATGCAATTTCACTTTTAAGTTTATTTTTCTTTCCCTCTAATTGCGGAAAATTTGTTTCATCAAATCGACAATCTGCAAATCTTGCAGTGAATAAATCTCCCGTCAATTGCTCAAGGTAGCAAATTATTGAGGGTGAATCAAACCCAACATATATGCCTAACCTTCTTTGAGGGCCCATCTTGGTGCGCTGAGGTGGTGCTACAGGCACATATACAACACATCCAAAAATTCGAAGATGAGCAATATTTGATTCATGGCCAAATACCAATTGTGACGGGAAATATTTATTATAATGAGTTGGTCTGAGACGAACAAGCGATGTTGCATGTAAGATAGCATGATCCCAAACAGTAGTAGGCAACTCACTTTTCATAAGTAGAGGTTTTGCTATCAACTGTAAGCGCTTAATAAATGACTCAACAAGGCCATTTTGAGTATAAACATGAGCTACATGATGTTCAACTTTTATCCTTACCGATACGCAATAAGCATCAAAAGCTTGGGATGTGAATTCGCCAGCACTATCAAGGCGAATTGTCTTAATGGGATAATCTGGAAATTGTGCTCTTAATCATATCATTTGTGCCAATAATTTTGCAAACGCCAGGTTGCGAGATGATAAGAGGCACACATGAGACCATCTTGAAGATGTGTATATTAGGACCATAAAATATCTAAACGACCCACTAGATGGGTGAATAGGTCCACAAATATCTCCATGTATTTGTTCTAAAAATTAAGGGGATTCAATGTTAATCTTCATTGGTGATGGCCTAGTAATCAATTTGTCTTGGCAACAAGCAGCACATGAAAACTCATCATTTGTAAGAATCTTCAGGTTCTTTAATGAATGTCCATTTGAGTTTTCAATGATTCGTCTCGTCGTTATTGATCCAGGATGACCTATTCGGTCATGCCAAAGCACAAAAGTCTTTAAGTCAGTAAACTTCTAGTTTACGATAGAGTGTGCTTCAATCGTACTTATTTTTGCATAATACAAGCCAGAAGATAAAATTGATAATTTCTCCAACACATATTTATGGTCTGAGACAATCTTGGTAATACCAAGGTATTCAACATTCATTTCATTTATTGTCTCAACATGATATCCATTTCGGCGAATATCTTTAAAACTTAACAGTTTTTTGGGGGATTTAGAAGAGAACGAAGCATCTTCTATGACAATTTTTGTCCCCTTAGGTAGAAATATAGTAGCTCTTCCGGAGCCGTCTATTAAGTTTGAATTACCAGAAATTGTAATAACATTTGCTTTTCTTCTAAGCAAGTAGGAGAAATATTTCTCATCTTTGAATATGGTGTGCGTTGTTCCACTATCAATTACACAAATATCTTCATGATTGATCATTGAGGTATCCATATACTCTCCGAGGCTTTTAAAGTCCTTACTTGAACTGGCAGAGACTCGTGCTGATAACGTGTTGTAAAATCAAGATTATAAAAAGAAGACAAGAGAAGTAAATGTAGGAGAAGACTTTCTTCTTATTCAAGTATATGTAAGTTTCATATGTATATAATACAATAGTGAATGAACAACCCTATTTATAGAGTGAGAACTCACTCCAAAGGTCACCATATTAAGTATCATAATGAATAGATACATTCTTATCCAAAAATGTTCATGTAACCTAGTGAATATGAATGGTTGTTCATGTACTAACTTTATGAACTATCCACTTATTCAGTAGATTTATAACACAAATTAATACTTTCAAAAAAATTTAATCTTTTATAAAATACAAAAAAGTACTTCATTTTTTTAATTTTTACAATTCTATCCAAACCATTTTCTTTAAAAAAAAAAAATGAAAATAGGTATTTCTCTTCTTCTTCTCTCAACGTTCTCTCTTCTCTTCTTCTTCCTCTTTAGAAAAATCTGAAAATCCGACTATCAAAACAAATATTTTCCCACATTATCTTATCTTCCTTCTCATCTCCGATCGTGACTCTCTCCTCTTTCTAAACTGAAATTTGTGTTTGACTTAAAATGGATAAGTCATTTTTTTAGTGATTTTACAACATTGAACCAATACTAAGCTTTTTTCTTGGGTTAATGAAGAATAAATCGTTATATAGATGTGAAAAATAAATAATAGTGTAATGATACCTATTATTTATTGTGTTAGAAAGAAAATTAACAAACTCAAAAAGCCATAATTTGTGAAAATATATATGTAATGTTAACATTCACTGAAAATTCATTCTTTGTTGTTTTTGTTATTCTTTTTGTGACCATTTTGTTCATATGATTTAAGAAATATAGTTTTGTTCAATTGTCCACAAA